GACTGATGGGGACAGACACCTTTAGGAGCTGCTTGTTAAAAAATCTTAACGATGGGGTGGGGCTGGGTTGGTGACCTCGGACTCTGTGAGGCTCTGTAATGCTGCTGCTTTGGGCCCTGGCAGGATGGGCTGGGGTCTCCATGCCCTGGGTGGCAGTTTGACAACAGAGTTGCCTATTGGGGCCAGTGGGGGAGCTGGCTCCCTGGAGGGCTAAGCCCAACCAGCCATTCCTCCCCATCCCCACACATTTCTCTCCTCCTGCTCCCTCACATCATCACACAAACATGCACATAGGTCCTTGGGGGGTGGACAAGTCAGGGAGTGTGGGTATGGGCCCCATTTCCGCATTCCTGTGACAACCTACCCCCCAATTTTATTTGCACCTTATACACTTCCACCGACGACATTCCATGCAAACACACACTTAGGGCCTTGGGAGTGAGCACATTCAACGACACTTGGCAGGGGGATTTCTCAGCCTCCTCCCGAGTGCCAGTGCCCACTTCCAATTTTAAACTGCACTTAGACACCGAGGGCTGTGGGTACAATTGGGGTGGTGTGGTGGCATCCGCTGTCATAGGCCAGACAATGCCCGCACTGCTCGCTCACCACAGCCATGGAATACACCTCATCAACACACAACACTATAATGGAGCAGGCGGAGGGAGACTAGGGGTCTTAGCACAGCTCTGTTGTTGCTTGGCTTCCTGGGGCTGGAGGCTAGGAGGAAGATCTGGCCGTCTGGTTGGGGTCTGGGGTGGTGGGTTGCTGTGCTCAGCGTTGGGCGGGGGAGCCTGCTCATCAGCACCCCAGCAGAAAGGGTCAAACTCTGGTAACCGGTGATGGTTGTACCCTATGTGCAGCAATACCGGGACCAGAGTGAATAGGGTGTGTATGGGGAGCATGAGTGGGTGTCCGGCGTGCATTTTTGTAAGTCTTGGGTTGTATGTGCATGTGTGAGCATGAGGGAGGGAGTGTGTGACTGTGTTTGTGTATGACTGTATATGTCAGGTGGGGCCTTTGACTCCTCTCTTCTCCTGGGACTTCTTTTGATGATATAGATCTTCGTCTCCCCTCCCCCTGCCACACCTGGTGTGGGGTGTGGTGCCTTGGTCTGCCTAAGTGTTCGTGGCTCCCGGGTCTGGGGGTTTAAGATTTCTGGCGTCTGCTTGATCAGTCCTGGTGGGGTCTGGGTCCCTGGGCTCTGCTGGGTCCCCGGCGGGGGTAGTCGCCCCTGGGTCCCGGGTTGCTGGGTCCCGGGCTCGGCTGGCTAGGGGGTGGGAGGTGGCGGGCGGGCCTGTGGGCTTGCCGCTGATATCTCCCGGGACTCTGCCGGCTGCTGGTTGTGGCCCCCCCGGGGCGATCCTCTGTGCCTCTCGAGGGGGGCGGGGGCTTTTCTGGCTGCAGTCTCCTTGGGGTTCCCGTGTTCTGGGGCAGCGCCTGGATCTCTGGGACTTGGAGCTCCCCCGTCTCCTACACATCTTTGGCGGCCGGATCTGTGGTCCCTCACACTCTCTATTGGACGCTCCTACAGAGAAACCTTACATAAACAAACACGTGTACACACACAGGTGCTCTCAAAAGTATGGGCTTGGGCACGTTCAACACTTGTCTTAAGGCTGTCGTTGCCACTAAATACACTATGATTTATTATCGTGTGATTGTTCAGTTAAACAATATTGATTTTATATTTCATCATCAGGTTGACGCAGATAGCTTGCTCCTGATGTATTGTTGTGTGTCCCATTTTTTTCTTGCTCTTTCTCTTTCTGCAGGTCTAGAAGCAGACTCTTGTTCATTATTGTTTATTTTTGTGGACCCCCCCCCCCCCTCCCCAACTCTCCCCACCTTTTGTCTTTTCGTTTCTCTTTCACCTCTGTCTCCGTGTCTGGTCGGAATTACAAAGCATTCAAAAACAATAACAATAAAGTTTTAAGTATCAGGCGTGACATTAAAAGCAGACGCTTTGGTGCTCCACCTGAGAGTAAATCTGTACGGCTTGTCATCAGCATTCAGACATCAATTCTGTTTGCTTCACGGCTAGACAGGACACGGTAAAAAAAATAATTCTTAACGATCACGGCTTCAATCGCAATAAAAAGCAAGTTATATCCAAGATAAACGGAAGTCTGCGGCAGCGCTGAGACCGCCCCATACCCCTTTATGCCGCCATCACCTAATCTTTTATAAAATTGCCATCCGATTGCGCCACATTACCGCCACTGTCTGATCTTATAAACAACCTTTATCCTCCCCAGGGAGCCGCGGCACATCCTGTTTTGCTAACACTATGGTCCTGTATAAACAGCCCATAAGAACCAAAAAGTGGAAGTAATAAAGGTTTGTTCTTATGCTTTATCAGAACAAATGAATCCTGTCATCATGTAAAAGGATCAGGCATGTTACAATATAACACAAATAAAAAGATTTTATTCTATGCATCACATCGGGAGTCTGATAATGTCTTTTGTAGTTCAAAACCTAAATAAATATTTCTTAATTTTTAAAATTCTCTTGATATTCTGAATTTCTAAAACCAAAAGAAAGACTACTTTTTCTACATCACTTTTATCAGAAACTGAAATCCAAAAAGCTGATTCTGAAGCAGTATATGGAAGAAGAGAGCGACCTTTACAGTTTATCTCCTTTTATATCAGCAATGTATGTCAACAACTTTCCTCCTTATGTGCAGCATGACTCAATATGACACAGTAAAGCTGACTAGCTTAAATGAGCCAATTGTTTGATTTAGGATTGTGCTGAGATGGAGCATGATGGCAATGCTTTACAACAGTTAGTGAACAAGGACACTGCAGTGGACTGGGGAGCAGAGAGCGCAGCTGTAGAGATAAATCACACTAGACTGAGGGAAGGAGCTTTGAGACACTGAAGCCTAGTTTATGCTCCTGCATCAGCTCCACAAGCGAGAGACACACGCAATGACAGAGACGTTTTACCTTCGGACTTCTCCGTCTCCTGAGGAGTGTTACAAAAAAAGTCCTCGCCAGGAAACCAGAGGGCGTAGTGCTGTTCTGGGGTATCCTGTCAAGTATCCGGTCCAATATAGTGCACACCTCTTTATGCGCTCGATGTTTCCCGCCATTCATCCTTGCTGCAAATCTTTATACTCCTCCGGTCATGAGTGAATAAAAAATTCCGCGAGGTATTCCCCTAGCCTTTCCATGTCTGTCGCTAGATATTTTCGGCTTTTTTTTTTTTTATTGAGGGTGCAATGGCGCTGCTATTGATGAATTTAAAGGAAGCGGCGTCCTGACCAACCACAAGTTTGCATTTTCTGTCTCGTTTGACGGTTGTTTAGAAACGTCGGCCTGACTCCGTCCATCCTTGCGAGTCTTTTGTGGGCCATTCCCATCTGTACCGGGTCGGCCCGGGCCGGGTAGCGTAGGTTGTTTACATATCTGGGTGGCCTGGTATTTTTCCGGGCCAACCAAGGCTCATTCTCAGCCCTCTTCTGGAGGGGGTCTGCTTCAGGCCGACCAGGGCCAACACACCCACTGCTGACAGCAAATTCACACCTTCCATTAGAGCAAGCCTCTGATTGGTGGGTAGAATCAGCCCACATGGGCTTAAGGCAAGGATGTGTGGAATCAACCGGGCCAGGCTGGGGCCGACTGGGGCTACCCGGCCCGGGCCGACCCGGTACAGATGGGAATGACCCATAGAAAGCCCTCGCAATGACGGAAAATGCTGTTGCGTGTCTCCGCACTGATGCAGATACTTGGCTTGCATCCCAGTATTCGCATCTCATCCTCCATGTTAGTAGTAGAGGAGACTACAGCTAATTATAGACCACACTTCTTTCTTATTCTTTCTTTGCTATTATTGCGTAAAGTCTGCCCTAAAGGTTGATTGTTCCTAATGTATGCAAGTAAATCAATTTTATTCATATAGCACTCATCACAGACAGAAAATCACTAAGTGCTTCACATACTGTAGATCAAAACAAAACAAATAACGTCATAAATTCATAATAATCTTTTAAACAGAAATAAATTAAAATAAGAAAAATAAAGTCATAAAATTATAAAATACAACAAAACAAATTTTAGTTAAAAATAAGACAATACAAGATTTAGGTAAAAGCAGCTTTAAGTAAAAGGGTCTTCAGTGGTACTGTGGCAGCTACATGTTGGGGAGGGGAAAGGTGAAAACGATCATGTTTCAAGTCTTTTTTATTTAACCTTGTCAGGACTCACAAATTCAGATTCACAAACCTGGATGAAGCAACTGTTGTTGCTTCATGTTTTAGAGTAATCTGTGCTTTTGCACATTGTAAACATTAGACAAGCTCAAATGGTGTATACGTGGAAGACAGAATGGACAAGAATGAAAGAAAAGCTTTGTGTTTCCAGTGTGAAGAGCTGTTAGTGCTCAGCAGTGAAGCTTGTGGTTCACTGAATGCGGTACCGGGGCGGTCATCTTTAGCTTACAGCCATTCTGCCGTTCACACAGAATGTGGCTTGTGTTCTGAATGTCTCCCACAAAGGCACCAAATGATTTGCAACATGACACAATACGTTTACAACTATACCTGTAAAAATATTGTGAGCAATCACACTGAACTGATATCCTTGTCATTAATAATAAAACAAATAAAAAGCTGGCAAAAATTATGTGGATTTATGTGTCTGAATCACATCTCACTGTCTGGCTTGTGTAATTTTAACTTCATGCAGCGTCTTTAAAAAAGAAACTCCGTGTGTTAACGTTACAGGGCTCTACATCTGGATCCGCACAGCACTGCAGCCGGTGTGAATGCTCTGATTGAAAAAAATGTTTTATTTTTTATTTTTGTAGAAGCCACACAGAAACAGTGTCGTATTCATTCCACATTCTGTGTGAAACAGGCTTTTTTACCATCTACATGACTTGTGGATCTGTATGTGCCTCAGTGCATTTGGATGCCTTCACAGTTGAACCATTGTTTCCCACTGAGGTTGTAAGTGGATGACTAATCCCACCGTGTGTATGTGCATCAGGAATTTGAAAACACCGAGGGAGAGGAGTACCAGGCAGACCTGTCCGCACTGGCCTTGCCGTCCTCCCAGAATGGCCCCGAGGTTTACATCCTGCCCCTCACTGAGGTCTCCCTGCCTGTCTCCAAACAGCCAGGCAGATCAAGTAAGAAACATCAACGGTCACAAAAACTACACACTACTTTTCACAGCAACAATAACTGATACAAACATTTATTTCTTCAATAACTGCAAAAAGAGTCAAATGATTTGATTCTGGAGCTTTAAGAACTTAAAAAAATAAATTAGACACAGCATTTACTCATAATAAAATGACTCTAGCCACCATATATGTATATGTATGTGGATATAACACACTATAAAATAATACATTGTTTTTCTAAATAAATGTACTGTGATTGGCCAGCTGGGTTCCAGTGGAGTGCTGCTAGACCATCAATTTTGTTCAGCAAATGTCGGTCTAGATTATAGGTTATAATGACACAGTATCACAAACACCCATATTGATTTGGTTCATTCTAATATGCTCCACTTATCCGACTGCATGTTTCCTTCCTTGTCACCTGCTTGAATTTTATCAAGTCATACTGCCTCATATAAAAATGTGCATTTGCATGTGAGTGTGAGCCTCATTCTGGGTGCTCAGCTTGTCTCAGCCTGTGTGACTCACAGGCTTGTCTGTGCTGCACGCACGGCTCTGCTAGAATGGGGGTTAGCTGCTGCTCAGCATCTCTGGATGAGAGGGCCGAAAATGAATGGACAAGGCAGCCTGAGGTGTAAAGCCATCACCAAGCTTGCCTCTGTCCCTCTTAGCAACGGCTGTGCGATTGGTCCAAGTGTTGCTGGGTAAGACAGATTGGGAAAGGATTGCTTCCTTCCACTAAATAAAACAGGAACATTTATGATTTATTTGAATTATTTTATCTATAATGACATTTTGCTCTACACAAAATATTTCAAATATAAAACTTTATATATTTTATTATAGATATTTAGTTTGCAGATTTTTAATAAATTAATCTACAAGAAAAGCTCCATGCACCCTTTGAACAAACTGGTCTAGGAAATACTCCTACAGAAAATGTGCTGTTGTATAATTGGTAGATAAGCCAATAATATGGTTTTAGATGAGCCCAGCATCAGTTCAACATCTGGATGAATACACAATAGTGTTTGTTGTTGATCTGATGATCATATATGTGCCTTTAATTTTTTTTTGCAGCTATCAAGTGAAGCTTTGCTACAGAGTTTGAATACATCAGTGTGAGTGTGTGAAGCCATTGTGTTTATTTCCCACCGATCCTTCATTGGACCATTCCATATTCTGTCAGAAATGCCATTAACAAGACTGCACTCTCACACGATCCACATTAGGAATAATGCTGCATTTTAATTTCTGAGTCTTTGTCTGTCAGAATGGGAGGAGGTCCATGGGTTCAGGTGGTGAAAGTCTATCACCGTGACAACCTCCGCCCAGCATTCCAGTACAGAATGGGCCTTGTGTGTGTCTACATTGTCTAATGAAGTGTGTGTTTCTGCATGCATTTGAGGCACTAGGTACCAGGAGACAAGACCTAAGCATGCGAGTGGACGACAGCAACAATGGCCTTGATTTAAAGTGGGCTAGGCTAGTGGGGGAGCATAATGCTGAGCTGAAATGTTTGAGGAACACACCAGCGGAGGACTGGCATCTTGAGCCGAATACAGTGAGGGGTCTGTGGCAGAATGATGAGATGCGCGGTGGCCTAAGAAAAAGGAGGGAAACGCCTTTATGGGGTGGCGAGTTTAGATGACAATGATTTATTTTATTACTTAGGACAGAGCAACGTTTGTTTCATGTTCGGCTAAGGAATTCTGCTGTCCTGGGTGACAAGGAGACATTATGTGGACCTTATGTCATAACTAGGTCTACTACTTTCTTCTGCAATTTGCTCTACTTGGTGTGTGTGTGTGTGTGTGTGTGTGTGTGTGTGTGTGTGTGTGTGTGTGTGTGTGTGTGTGTGTGTGCGTGTGTGTGTGTGTGTGTGTGTCTGCTCTGTCTTCTCCATCCCCAGTGAGTCGTGGAGGATGGCTGCTTATACTGAGCCAGGATTCTCTGGAGGTTTCTTCCTGTTAAAAGGGAGTTTTCCTCTCCACTGTCACTGCATGCTTGCTTAGTATGAGGATTGCTGTAAAGACTCTGACACTAGTCAGTGACTCGATGCAACCTACTGGGTTCCTTAAATAGGAAACTTTTTACTGATTGGCTTAATGAACTGACCTGTATTGGAATGTTAACTATGTGAAGTGCCTTGAGACGGCTCTTGTTGTGATTTGGCGCTTTATAAATAAACTTGAATTGAAAAGGTTGAAGCTGCAGATAGAGCTGGAGTGTCAAAAGACATACTGTCAACATGTGTGCTGGTCGCAGCAGGCATGTGTGTTAAAAAATCTTTGCATCCACAGCTCATATGCTGAGCCACTGGCAGATAACTTTGTCTTCCATTTACTGGTGACTTGAGTTTAGTCCATTGAGGAACTGGGAATTTCAGTCAGCTGAACAGCTGGAAGGCCCTTGAGGCGGACAGTATGGGTGTTTGTGTGTGTCCCAGTAGGAGGATGAGCTCGGCGCAGATGGGGAGAGGCTTGTTCAGCTGTGCGAGGGCTCGGTGGGTTAAATCCATGCCGGGGCGCTCCCTCTCTATCTCTCATGCACAATGAGTTTGCGAAGCCTGGGGCTGGAGCAGGAGCCATGGGCTTTTGGTTCCCACACAGAGCCTGGGGTTTACCAGGGTCTTGGACTCAGTCCCTGTTATGGCGGTGATGGTGGTTATCCGCTCGACTTTATCATCATCATCATCTGGTCTATCTCCATCAACATAAGTGATGAAGATTCATGGAGGTATCTCATCTTATTCGTAACTTGGTTTTGTTTGTGAAATCTTTGTGGTTTTTGTCTTTAATTTGTTAGACAAGTAACAACTTTAGAATTATATTTAGGAAAAAAGAAGTTATTTCTTCTGGCTCATATTTTTCTGTGTGAACACAAAATTTCTCTCCATCTGACGATTACTGAACTTTTTTTTTCTTTTGTGAAAAGCCATTTTTGTTGTTGCTTTTCTGTGTTCCTTCTTTTCAAATAAATCAAGCTAAGGTTTGTTCTGGTCTAAAAAAATAATCTTGTGTCACCTTTACCGTTCTCTCCCAGTGCAGCTGCAGAAATCGTCAGACATTGGCCGTCACAGTCTGGTGTATCTAGGAGAGATTGGACATGGCTGGTTTGGAAGGGTAAGACCTGCTTCTCTATATTTTTACAATACGTACAATCAGTTTCTGATTTAGTTCTTTTCAATAACTAAAAGGTGCACAGGTCTCTTAATGTGGGACTGAATGAATGCTTGCTTCAGCTGTCCCTTTCTCGGTTTTTCTCAGGTTGTGTTGGCTGAGGTCAGCACGGGCGTCCCCACCACCAAGGTAGTGGTGAAGGAACTGAATGCCAGTGCCAGCATTCAGGACCAGATCAAATTTCTGGAAGAGGCGCAGCCATATTGGTCAGTACACTAAACATCTTTATGATGCAAAGCATAGCAAGAAAACTACCTCAGAGCATATTCAAATCATTCAGTTTGTGTGTGGTTGTTTTAATATTTCAAACTTTCTTCCTCTTCAGGACTCTCCAGCATCCCGCTCTCCTGCAGTGCCTTGCTCAGTGTTCAGAGGTCACTCCGTATCTGCTGGTCATGGAGTTTTGCCCTCTGGTACAACTTCATTTGGATGATTGCGTCTTATATTCATGCTCAAATCAACATAAATTCCCTTTTTCTCCTCTCAGGGTGATCTCAAAAATTACCTCTGCAGTTGTCAGGCGACTGATTCTGAGACTCCTGATACTTTGATCCTCCAGAAGATGGCGTGTGACATAGCTTCAGGGCTCCATCACCTTCACAAATACAACTTCATTCACAGGTATCTTAAACCAGTCCCCATTTTTCATTTCATGTTTAAAAAAAGGAAGCATCCACCCAAATGGACTGTGTGCCACCTTTTGGTCTTTTCCTGCAACAACATCCTGCTGCTGCCTGAGTATCTGACACACTCCAGCATCAGTGATTTTGTTGCTGGTGGAGAATCCCTCTCACTTCCACATGGTGGCAGCACCTGGACTCAGTAAACTGAGAGGTATTTGTGTGTTCTCACACAATCATAAACAGTAAAAAGATGCACAACATTGATAATCTGTTTATTACTTGCTTTATTTTAATTATATAAATGAATTCCACAAAATAATTAGATGTTTTATGACTGACATACAGTAATATATTGACAGCCACCATCTAAATGCTGATGAAACTAACAAAAACAAGATGGTAATGCGTGGTCACATGACTAAATAAAGTTTTTTTTTTTTTTTTTTGCCATAACAGTGACCTGGCATTGCGAAACTGTCTGCTAACATCAGAAATGTCTGTCAAGATTGGGGACTATTCCCTTTCCCACAGCCGATACAAGGTATGCATTTTAACAATGTCACCGCTTCAACAAAATGCTGCCATAGCTTTAGATCGTATTTGTATTTCCTGAGGGTGACTACTACATAACACAAGACCAGATTTGGGTGCCTCTGCGCTGGATTGCTCCAGAACTCATTGATGAGGTCCATGGAAACCTGCTGGTTGTTGATCAAACCAAGAGTAGTAATATTTGGTGAGACGTATATGAATACACATTGGAAATAACTCAGAACATTTGTTTACTAAGCAATCTGTCACATGAGACACGGTGAACTTCCTTTGCTTTATGCAGGTCATTAGGTGTGACCTTCTGGGAACTGTTTGAGCTGGGAAACCAGCCATACAGACAATACTCTGACAGACAAGTGCTGACTCATGCTGTGAAGGAACAGCAGCTCAAACTCCCCAAACCCCAACTCCAGCTTCCTTTGGATGACCACTGGTGAGACATTTAACTACTCAGAGAAAAACTGGGCCAAAGGAGCACCAACTGAATATTGAGTACTGTACATGCTCATACTTTTCAGTTTGCCAACATTTCTAAAATTCTTTTATTTTTTGGTCTTAATTGATATTCTAATTTTCCGAGATACTGAATTCGGGATTTTGTGATTTTCATTAGTTGTCAGTAACAATCATCAAAATTAAAGAAATAAACATTTGAAATAAATCAGTCTGTGTGTAAGGACTGAATAAAATGCACAAGTTTCACTTTTCAAATAGAATGACTGAAATAAATCAACTTTGTCATTATATATTTTAGTAATATGACCAGCACCTGTACATTAGGGTTTATTAGAGCTGCAAGTGTAACTGACCAATTAGTGACCAATTCCTGTTTTAATGATTATTTTATTCAGCGCGTGTTGTGTCAGTTCACTCTGGCTATACACCTCTTTGCAAGCAGAAGCAGATGATCAATACGATTTCTGTTCTTTCTGACCTCTTCACTATCAACCAGCATTTAATCAACTAAATTAACTTTACCTGGAAACTTACCAAATAGTGTTTGGATCTCTTAACTTTTACACCAACACACTAAGAGGATCCTCTGTGTCAGCATCTGCACTGCAACTTTTTTATTCGCTTGGTTACTGACTAGAACAATAAATGTGTCAGGAGATGCTATCAAGTGCTGACTTTTAAATGCTTTTAAAGTTGCTTTGTAGTTCTACTAGATGCCTTTTTAACTTTTTCCACCCACAAACTACTGCTACTTTATTTTTTTCATGCTCTTTCCAGGTATGAGGTTATGCAGTTTTGCTGGCTGCAGCCGGAGCTCAGACCCAGCAGTGAAGAAGTACACCTTCTGGTCACACACTTGTGTGGCAAATGCTCTACTGAAGTCAAGGAAGACTTTACGCAACACTGGAATACCTTGAGGCCAAACTTGCTTGTCAGCACATTGCATACAGCTTCATCCAAAGCCCTGGTTCTGACCCCCACACCCACCTCAGCTGACCTCTCCAGTGCAGAGCAAACTCAGGCAGTAGAGCTGGCCTCCTCTGCTCCATCCTGCTTCCCTCTCCTGGAGCACTTCTCAGACAGCTTTCACTCTGACACGGGGGATGACCTACTGACCGTCACAGAGACAAGCCATGGTCTCAAATTTGAGTACAAATGGGAGCAGGCTCGTTCTGAACAGCCATACTGCACCTCTTCTGCAAGTGCGCCACTTGGCCAGGAGAACACACATTACCAAGATATATATTATTCAAATGCAGGAAGACCCACAAGGGGCGGCAAGACTATCAGTCTGACTTTAAATATGTCCCCACCCTATTATGAACCTGAACATGTAAGCGTTGTCCCAGTGCTGAGCGCCCACAGCCCCTCAGTGAGCAGTGAGTACTACATTCGTATAGAAGAACCAGTCCTGAGTAACATTAAGCTGGATGATGGGGTTGGAGGCTACAGCTCCCGACTGGAAACCACTAAGGCAGAGCCTTGCGTTTACTGGTCCACTGCTGACAACACATCAATTGACTCTGACTCCAGTCCCACCCTCCAAAAAACCATGCAGCTACTACTGAGCCATTCATCAAGTAACAGTCCTGTAGAGTTTGGCCACTTGCACAATGACCCCCTAACTGAACGCAGTAAACCAGACTACTGCAAACATTCAGCAGAATGCAAGACACACAAGTTGTCCTGCTCACCTGATCTGGAGACTTCATTAGAGTCACAAACACACCTTTTGCATCCACAGTGCAAATTGGAAAACCAACACAATTTATCCCGAACTATCAGCAGCCCCAGTTTAGGGTTCTGTGATCCTTACCTTGAAAAAAACTTAGTTAAGGAAAGCTGCCATAGTAAGGCAGGTAATCTCAGAAACACCCTTCCTATTGTTAACCCTGGTAAGAAAGATGCAGAAACGGGTGGTTCCCTACTGTCGGGTCGATGGAGAAGTGGTGAGATTATGAATGACTTGTTTTCTGATGGAGAGGCCACAAACTGGATCTCAAACCACTCAGCAAACAACAACAGCCTGAGCTGTGAGTGCAGGCAGAGAGGCAATGAAAAGGACACTTATCTGAATGCTACAGATTTATGGTCTTTAACCAAGGCCACCACGAGAACCTTCGGAAGCTCTAAACTTTGCGGCAGCACTGAGGGCAGTGGTGGCAACTCTGATTGGAGCCCGTCTTTGGAGCCTGTTAGTTCTGGCTTATACTTTCACTTGTGCCAAAAAGAAAAAGCTGCAACTCAAAGAGACACGTGTGCAAACTTCGATTACTTGCAAAGCACCAACCTTCTCCCCAATGTTACCGAGGTTGGAAACATGGAAGGTAACTATGAAAGGCAGTTGGTGGCCAACCGAGAGAGTGACTACAGTGAAGCTGATGATGACATCTCAGATATTACATCAGGAGTTTTTACTGACTTTAATCTTGACTTGAGCGAGGCCGAGGAAGAAGATTTTAGCCCAACGAAAACTCAAGAGAAGGTTCCTGAATCTGTGGATGCTATTAATCTATTTTCATCAGCGGCAAGCTCCTGTGACCAGGCCTTCAGTCCCGATGCCTTCAATAACCCTATCTTGCCAAAATCTCTGGATAGTGGCTATGACACAGAAAACAATGAATCTCCATTGTTTATCTTCAAAGAGCTTGGAGATTCCCCGAGTGTTGAGAATTGCCCGAGGCTTGGTGGAGAATCGGAAATTGCTCTGCAGGTTGGTTTGGGGCAGGGAGTCTGCACTTCCGCAAGCACCTTGGATGTGCATGTAAGAAACCTGCTTAACAAGATACCGTACAGGGCCTCCGCTTACTTCTCTGACTATGATGCAGAGAACGAGAGGAGTCCCATAGAGGAAGACCGTAAGTTCCTCATGGGTTCAGGTGACCATCATTGGCCTGCTATTTTGAGCTATGTTGTAAATGGTTCTGTTGAAAGAAAAGTCAAGAACGAGAACAGTTTTTCAAATCTGAAGCACATTCAAAGTCGTGTTTTGGCGAATCTCTCAGAAGCTGATCCTAATTTACCTCACATTTTCTTCACCCCTGGGTTGTCCATGCTGTCACCGTTTCCTCCACAGATGGGTGGGTGCCTGACCAAAGAGTCTGCCCCGGCAGAAGATGATCCTGGTTTGGAGACGGAGCATTCAGCAGAAGAGCCTGCATCAGAGCTTAGCTCCTCCTCTGGGTCAGAATCCTCCATGGCTGTCAAACAAGACTCTTCCAAAAATGAAAAAAGGAGCAGGGGAGCAGAAGGCTGCTCCTCCGCTCATTCACTGGAGTGTGGTTGCAACATAAAGGACTGTAGAGAGGACCCCTGTCAAGAAAATGAAAATGGCGGTGGATCCCCTGAAGATGAAGAAGTGAATGATTACAGCCATGTCCAAAAAGACCTAGAGGACACAACAGAGCGTGTGAGAATCAATGAGGAAGAGTTTGAGGACATAGATGCAGATGAGAATGATAGCTTATGTGAAGAATCTAATATTCCTCAAAAACTTCCCAATTCTTCGCCACCATTGGAACTTTGTGGCGAAGATGTAAGAGCTCCGCTCGAAGAGGCAGAGGATGAAGATGATTCAGACGAAAGTGAGTCTGATGAGGATCTGAGAACGTATAAGGTCCAAGAAGACAGCGAGGAGAGTGAGGAGGATTTCACCACAGTGCCAGTTGTAGTAAGTGACTGCAGCAGGGCGAGGAACCTCCGCGGCCTTCTGAAGACGCCCACCCTGCTTACCCATTCCTTCTGTGATGAGTTGGAGAGGAAGAAAAAGGCTGTGTCCTTTTTTGATGATGTCACAGTGTTCTTTTTTGACCAGGTATGTAACGACATGTTAAAATTTTACAAACTCTTGAATCAGTTTATATACCTCTCGATGATTTTCAGGAAAGCCCCACAGGAGAGTTGGCGGAGAATTCATTCTCCACAGAAAGAGAGCCCAGTGAGGAGGAACCTTCAGACTCTGAGCTCAAAGCTGAGTCCTGTGACACTCACTGTGTTTCGAACCAAACAGACGGAAACAACTCTGAAAACGGTGAGAACACAGAATGCTATCCTCGGTTGTGTAGACATGATTGACGTTGTCCTTGATTCTCTGAATACATTCAGGTGGGAGTTATAAATGGGAAGATAACCACTCCATTGAGTTCTGTCCATCCTCACTTCCAACCACCCGGGACCCAGAATCCTCTCCCACCTTTGTCCTCCACGCAGGTGAAGTTCCCAAACCTATCTCTGTGCCACTCAACCGTGCCACGGTCTCACGCTTCTCCATCACACACGTGTCTGACACCAATGTGGGCCCAGAAACAGGTCGGTATGAACATGATTTGAACTGCTTGGTAATCTACTTTACATCTGATGAGTCGTTAACTCAGATTTGGACAGGTTAAAAAAATCTATGATCACTGGAAAGTGTTTAATATTTTGACCAATTTCAATGACTTGTGTCTAACAGGAAACAACGAAGATAATCCAGACGAACGAGAAGCCAGTTAAATTATTTCTCAACACGGAGAACCCTCGTCATTCTAAATGATTTATAGTTTTATTTTTTTATTATCGTTTGCCACATCTGCCCTAGTGACCCTTTATGAGACAGTGCCTCATATTTTTGTCCTGAATGATTTTCACCCACTTTTTTTTACTTTCACAGAGAAAGGGGGGAAACAGCAAGATCATCAACCTCAGAAAGCTCAGTTATGTTTGCAAAAATGGAATGTGATGTTTTGCACCAGTCTCTCTGAAGAACTATGCAGTTCTTTTTTCAGATGTAAAATTATTTGCGGTATTTCAGGCAACTTAAGACATTCATCAATCATACATTTTGATGGTTAAACTTAGAGGTGCTTCACTGAACAAAATTTCTTGATGATTTCTGATCGAGTTTTTCATGCAGGCTGAACATGAAAACTGTCCTCTACACCTGTCTCCTGCAACACGTTCTGACAGAAAATAGACGGTGAGACAGTGAAATACACTGACAGCTCTACATCACATAACCTTCACAGACTCCCCAGTCCTGACTCACAACAGGTAATGCTATCGTTAACATCCAGGAATGTAAAAGCTAAAATTCCTCCAGGCTTGTGTTATTTATGGAAAAAAAACATCCACATTGGAAGTCAGTGGTAGAGCGGTGTTGCCGTTATCCAATCTGGGGCGAGATGTCCAAATATCAGGAAATATCAGGCCCGCAGAGCGGCAGCACTTGTCGGTGCTGAAACCAGGAATTGTGGGCTTTTTTGCCCTGAGTATGGCTTGCAAGGCATCAATTCATACCGGAGACCACTGCAAACATATTGATTAAACAAGTTTCCCTCTTTAATTTGTGCCATAAATTCAAGTCATTTATTAATCACATTGATTCTCTGTGTTACTTGGATACAGGAAATTTAATCACCACGAATCTTGGTTTACAGTGTACTTATTTGTTGTCTATCCTGGGTAAAAAAAAAGCTGCTTGTGTTCATGCTGTTAGCGTGTTAGTTTGTCAAATTAAAATGTTTTGACAAAATTTACTCAGCAGAATGCCTTAACTTATAAGTCACACATGTTGAATGTCATTTATCTTTATGCATCCAAAAGCACTTCATATACAATGTATTTTACATGTGATGAAGGCTCAAGCCGGAAATGTATGGACTACAAAATGTATAGAAAAGAAAAGGCAAATTGTATGAATCTTCTATCAACATGTAGCAGGTAGCTCGACTTGAATTCCTTCTGCTGTAGACACACCTTCCTTTCTCTATAGTTCTGTAGCTCTGATTGCGAATGCCTTTCCTTCTCACCTTGCCCTTTATGTTGCACAAGACAAGAAAATATTGTTGGCATTTTTTGTGAGCATTTTGAACCAACCCAGGATGGCCATCTCTGAAGATTGCCTAAGAATTACAGAGAAGCCTGTTGGTTTGAGCGGCAGATGCCTTCGGAGAAGCTGAGATGGTACTTATGACATCATTTCTTTTTCCATTCACTGTTGTACTATCCAACCCTCCCAACAGTAAATAAATCAAAGTATCTTTTCCTCCTCTTGTATTTGTGATATATTTGCCTAAATCAATGACAACATTTCTTCAGACATTCAAATATTATAGCACAACACATAAACGTATGATAATGGTGCATGTTTAAATTTATTTTTGACTAGATAATTCATAAGCATGGCATCTCAGTACAGATATAATACAAACAAGGGTGAAGATGAGAGATAAAGATGACAGATATGCACTCAAAAAGTGTAAAAACAAGAACCTAAGATTAAAACTTTAGGATAATTTCATTCTGAGTTAATGACTCATCTGTAAAATAAAATGAAACTTTCCACCTGACAAGAGTGTAAACAAACATGTCAGCTCCCAGTTTGTGTCCCAGATGAGTGTGCTGTGTAATACTGAGAATAAATGATTTAAAAAAAATAATACTGTACCTTATTTGAAAAGCTAACACGCCCTTTAAAGCTAACCATTAAAACAAAGATAAAGAAAAGCCCCGTTACATATGCACCTTCTAGGCATCTTGTCAGACTAGATATAACTGGAATTCAAACAAACAGAAAAATTTGCTAAATTTTGGTAAATGTCTGGAGTGGCAACTATGCTGAAGCTTGTTTAAGCAAAAAAAAAAAAAAAAAAAAAGATCAGAAGAAAACGGAGAAATTCCATAAATATTTTTTGGATTATATATATAAAAAAAACTTTACTGAAAGTTCCTTTAAAACAAATTTCTGAACAAAAACAGCTTTATAAAACAAAAACACACTGAAGGCACAGTTCCCACATTAAAATCTGGGTATACTGTATTACAACCTCTAAACATTTATAGTAGAGAGACAAAACATCTGGTTAGAGTTATGATGTCAAGTCTCAAACTATTACTGTGCCTTTATTCTTAGGTAACGTGAATAATTCTCAACATTTACAGTGAATGATATGAAAGAAAAAACAAAACTAACTAAGCCTATAGTAGAAGTGCAGGTAAATGTCGACACTAGTTTAACTTCTTATGCATATCTGATCCTGGAAATTTGTAAGTTGCTAATAAACCTATTGTCATGGTTGTTCTTGAATGTTCGATCGTGGTGAAAACTGATTCGGAAAAAAATTCAAGTCTTTGTAAATTTCCTAAATTCTCGGTTATGCTAACTTGTTCAGTGAGATCACCCCGGCTCCCGTCAATCGCACCTCTGGGGTTTCCTGTAATAAGAGAAAATGCCAGTGACAGCCAGTGTTTTAGAAAAGCACAACCAGAGAGTGAAGAAAAGGGGACAGCAGGCTGCTAGTAGTAGATTGGAGCAGATCGGTCATCAGTGAAGGTGGGCCGGAGGAAGACCTCTAGTAAGCGGTCACTGTGGGGAGAGGAAGGATGAGACAAGGGACACTTTGTTAGCAGCAACACTAAACCAAATATCTCTATACACACAAAGTTTCATTTTATTCCCAAACCTTTCAAACCGTAATCGAAGGGGGAAAAATAGGGAAAGCATGAGATGAGTAAAACAAGTGAAAATAAACAACTTATAATATGTTGCAAGCAGGGTTAGTATGATATCTTTTCATTCATTTTCATTCTAGCTTTTTTTAAAAGAAGGGCTAGATTGTGCAAATCAAATCATCCAACAGCAGCCAGTGAAAACAGAGTCAGGCATTAACAAAGAGGAGAAAAGAGGTGATTGATTGGTTGGTTGGTTGGTGAGGAGGCAATGGAGACTGGTGACTTACGGAGGTCCTGTTCCCTCAGAACCGGGATAATTCTGGACCCAAACTGGAAGGTAAAGAGAACCTTTGGGTTTGAATGGCTCATACTTCAGATCATGCATGGGTCACAATTTGTAAGGACACATGTTAGTCTGATGCAAGACAAACATAAATAATAACTCAAAGCAAAGAATGCAAAACGGGAGTGCACGCTTCATGCTCAACATGCCCAAATCTGAATTTTGTACACATCTTACTGAAAATAATAATAATAAAAAAAAAATGTTATGCCTGATAGAATTAATAATCCAAATTCAACTATTCTCACACACACACACACACACACACACACACATGCAAGAAAAGTTCACATACACTCACTGAACACAACATGAACCATCTGACCTCTACCATGAAGAAAGCCAAATCTGATTTCTGTCTGCAGAAAACTACAAAAAGCTTAAAGTCACACTCAGCAGTTTTGCTTGCTTTCACCACCCCCTGGTGTCTGTTGATTCTCTGTGGTTAAACCGAAAACAAAACTCATCTCCTTGGTGTGCGTTCATCTTTTTAACACCTTGATTTAATTGCTGAACTGTCTCCCAGCCTTCAGTAGTGTCTACAGGAGTGATTCATCACTAAACAAAACAAATCAGCTGTGTTCACGACCTAAAACATGCAGAAAACATGCTGGAAGCAGACTGCAGCGCCAGGTTTGTCAGCTCCATTTTTTATAAGTCCAACAGATGTTGCTACGGCAGTCTGAAGTTGCAAGTGTGATACTCTAGCCACAGAGGCTGTTGGGGATCTGAGTGCCATTTCATTAACCCTGTAAAGAGTCCTTTCAGCACACATTGGCTCAAGAAAATGATTTAAACATATGAAAAGTTACACAGTATCCCTAAAGTTCATCCAAAGAAAATTCAAAAGGAAATCACATCTTTTAATGGTAATTATGAAACAGACAAGCTGCCACCCTGTGCAGATGAACTACTTCTATGGACACTTAGTTTTTTTTTTCTTTGAACCTCTAAATGCTCTCTTGCAAAACCCTAGAAAAGAGCAGCCTAGCATTTTACCATGCCCACCACACTTACCATCTACTGCTTATTAGTTAAATGTGATCCCATTTGTATTCTGAGGTCCATAGCACGCTGATGTTTAGATCCAAACAAATCATCAGGTTCTGACAGATCTAATCCTTTTGTTCTCAATTTGGCAGCAGACTTCATAGCAGAACCGCTGACTCATTATTAATCGTACCCTTCCCAGTAACGAAATTCCTAATATTTGGAAGTCTGCTTTTATTTTTCCTTACGTGAAGGGAGAGGACCTTTCTATTGTCACCAATTACAGACCAATTTCTAAAATGTGTTCAAGCTAAGGTCCTGGAAAGAGTTGTACGTGAGCAACATAGGTTCACACTGCAGGCCTTAATGCTCAATATCAATTTTTGGAGTTACACTTAACTGAAATAAAATATCAAACACTCTCCACTGTGAACAGTTCATGGCCCCAAAGCAACACACATGTGCAGAAGAGGACAAGCAGTCACACACAGTGGAGTGGGAACCCGGAGAGGTGGAGCTGTGATGCGAAAGCCTTCAGTGACATTTCTGATCGTGCCTGTCACGTCTCCCAGTTTGGAAACTGTTTTAAAAACTTTAAACTACCGTATTGACCCAAATATAGGACGCGCCGAGTATAAGGCGATCCTCCTTTCCAAGACCAATCTTCAGGAAAAGACCAAAAAAAAAAACATTGCTTTTAAATAAACTTTTTATAAGATTTGACAACAAAAATACTATTTTATTGCAAACTATCAGAACTTTGCTGACATGTGAAATCAAAAGTCAAATGAGGCTTTTATTCAGACACCCTCTGCCTAGCTGTACTCACTCACTCATGCTGCTGCGGGGTGTACCACCAGATCGCTTAACCTGCCGGCTCCTCCCAAACGTCATCCTCACTGCCATCCAATACAACCATGCATGCAAATGTTTGACGCCTCTGCTGAACTGACCATGGCCATGACTCTGTCATACTGTGTTAACTTGCCCCACTTTCGTTCCAGTCTGCCCCAGACCTCCGTCTCCATTTTTTTTTCCTGTTGTGAACATACGGCATGGTGCCCTCGGCTGTTACGGGTGTGTAATGACCCCACACACATATCAGCATGTGTAAATGCTTAGACCCCGAATATAAGATGACCCCACATTTAAAAATTATTTTCAATGAAAAAAAAACAAAAAAACTGTCTTATATTCGGGTCAATATAGTATTTTACTCCATGTTCCCACTTCCTTCCCGAATTATTAGTCACTGAAAATGTTCTGGTGATAAACTCATTGACGGAGACCAGAAGATGACCAGGGATGCTTTGCTCCAGTAGCACCTCCCCACTCTCATGCTCTTCTGTATGAATTCCAAAACTTGACAGGATGTCCAGACCGACCGCTGAATCCTTCTGTCAGCACGTCTCCTCAGGAACGTCCACACAAGACACTCACCTCTACTGACACACGAGGCAGATTTAATGAGACATGACCATTAAGACCACACTCTCAAAAGGCATCAGATAGGAATCAGTACCACATTTGAAAGTGACCAGTCAGATTTTTTAAAAAATCGGACCCGTGCTGTTCAGACGGTCACAAAAAATTAGATATGGGTTGCATGTGGGGAAAAATTAGGACTTGTGCTTTTGCCTGCAGTGTGAACGTAGCCTAAAAGACTTCTTAGACGCAAACAATATTTTGTCATCACATCAATCAGGGTTTTGTAAAAACAGCATCATTACTGCAGCTACAAATGCTGTTAATTAGGTAAATATGGCCTTAAGCCTGATTTATACTTCTCCGTGAGCTTCACAGAGAGGCGCACACGGAGTTTCGGCTGATGCATCAGCGTCAGCCTGAGGAAGCCTGCAGCCGCCGGCGAAACGTAGCGACAAAACAGGTAAACAAAACTGTTTCTGTGTTTTAAAAAGAACGACAGCATGGAATTAGAACCACGACACAGCAAGAACACACCTAAGGTGTTTATATATTTCAGAGATTTTGTAACGCAGACAAATTTGTCCTTCATTCTCCTCCATCTTTTCATGCGGTCGCTACATCCAAACCCACTTTTACAGTTGTTTCAGTCCACGTTGGCTTCGTATTTTGTACTCCTTCACTAACGGGTGAATAAATGTTATTTTCTGACTTTTTCCACGATGCGTTCTTCAAGCTGTTCTGGGTCTGCTGCTATATACCTGTTTACTTTCTAACGGTGCTACAGTGGTGCTGGTGACGGATATACAGGAAGCGGCGTCCTGACCAATCACAAGCTTGCATTCTCAGTCACTTTCGATGGATGTTTAAAATTTTGGGCATGTCTACATCACCCTCTGTGAGCCCGTTGGGAGAGCCCTTGCGCCGACGCATAATGGCGTTGCGTGTCTCCGCACCGACGCAGACGGAGAAGTATAAATCAGGCTTGGACAGTAGAAGGTACTGTGCTGCATTATTTATTGATCTATCAAAGGCGTCTTACTTCGTAGACTGTGTCGTCTTAGCAAATAGACTTTGTAACATTGGCCAGTCTGAAGGTAAAGTTTCATTTGTGAATTATCTTGAACATAATGTAGTTAGCTTTCTGGCTATCTGTCTTCCCTAGTACTGGTGTTGAAAAGTGTACACCAGGTCTCCATACTAGGAACTCTTCTTTTATTCACATCAACAAGATTGGTGATGAGGCATCAAATGCTGTTAATTTACATGCGGATGACACTGTCATTTACAGGTGCTCGTCATAAAATAATGTCATGTCAAAGTGGATTTCAGTGGTTCCATTCATAAAGTGAAACTAACATTCATTACACACGGACTGTAGGAGCCATTATTGTTTTGGTTTAGATTACATTATGGTCTAAGTTTATTTTGATAATGTTTTATGTACATTTCAGTTTATTGCACTATGGTTTGTATTTCCTTTAACCACTGGTGGCACTGCGGAGGTGTTGAGGCTGCAGTGCACTGGCGTTTTGTGGGTGACGGGAGGTCACACGGTTTTTACCGCTTCGTATGGTTTCATATGCCACATCTAATTTGCCGTTTTAATTTTCATCATTTACATAAACCTGGACAAGAAATAGCCATTCTGGACCCAGCTTGTGATCGTCAACATATTCAATAAATGGGACAATAAGCCCAAACCCGCTTTCTGCCTGGACAATATTGTTGAAGCGAGTCATTGCCTCCACCCGCACCCGAGGGTGACTAAAAGAGGGACTTGATAGTCACTACACGGACTGATTTATTTCAAATGTTAATTTCTTTAATTTTGATGATAATAACTGACAATGAAAATCCCAAATTCAGTATCTCAGAAAATTTAATATCAATTATGACCGAAGCAAACAAGGAATTTTGGAAATGTTGGCCAGCTGACAAGTAGGAATATGAAAAGTATGAGCATGCATACACGCATACAATATTTAGCTGGGGCTCCCTTGGTCTGGATTATTACAGCAATGCGGTGTGGCGTGGAGTCGATCGGTCTGTGGCACAGCTCAGGTGTTATGAGAGCCCATGTTGCTCTGACAGTGGCCTTTCAGCTCTTCTGAATTGTTGGGTCTGGTGTATTGCATCTTTCTCTTCACAATACCCCATAGATTTTCTATGGGGTTAAGGTCAGTTGAATTTTCAGGCCAGTCAAGAAGAGCGATACCATAGTCCTTAAACCAGGTACTGGTAGCTTATGTGCAGGTTGCAAGTCCTGTTGGAAAATGAAATCTGCATCTCCATGAAGTCGGTCAGCAGCAGGAAGCATGAACTGCTCTAAAACGTCCTGGTAGACGGCTGCATTGATCTTGGACCTCAGAAAACACCATGAAGCAACGCCAGCAGATGAGATGGCACCCCAGACCATCGCTGACCTCAAGCAACGTGGATTATGTGTCTCTCCTCTCTTCCATCAGACTCTGGGACCTTTCCTCCAAAGGAAATGCAAAATTGTCATCAGAGAACATAGCTGCCACTCAGCAGCAGTCCATTCCTTTTTGTCTTTAGCGCAGACGAGATGCTTCTGACAATGTCTCTTGTTCAACTGTGGCTTGACACAAGGAATTGCAGCAGCTGAAACCATGCCTTGTGTCTGTGAGTGGTGGTTCTTGAAGCACTGACTCTAGCTGCAGTCCACTCGTTGTGAAGCTCCTCCACATTTCTGAATGAGTTTTTTTTCACAGTTCTCTCCAGGGTGCAGTTATCCCTGATGATTGTATTTTTCTACCACATCTTGCCTTTCCCATCATCTCTCTATTAACTCACTCACTGCCAATGCCGACTAAAGTCGTCATTTGCATTATTTCACTCTGTGGGCGTCGGAACGAGCCCCCGCACTGAGAGAACAAACATCTCAGCTCTAAAGCCGATCTTCATCCGCATACGTCACACGTCACGTGATCAGGAAGCAGAAAATCCATGTGTTAGATCGTTTTGGGCCGCTGCTGTAAAAAAAATGAGGAGCGAACCAGAAAAGCTTCTGCAGATCACAATTCAACAACGGATTACGAAAGAACGGATAACGCTCGAAACGCGCGGATTCTTCCTGATGTAAGAGGTGACTCTCTGCTTTGTTTTGATAGTTTTGGCGTCAACATCATCCTAGCATGCAACGTTCTGCGACTCTTAAAAAAACAGTAAAAACGGTGAGAAACACTGGCAGCGAAAGGCTTTAGCGATCAGGAAACGGCTGGCAGCGAATGAGTTAATGTACTTGGACACAGAGCTCTGTGAACAGTCAACCCCTTTAGCCATGACTGTTTGGTGTCAGTGGTCATCTTTTGGATGACTGTCAGGTCAGCAATCTTCCCTGTGATTGTGTAGCCTACAGAACTAGACTGAGAGACCATTTAAAGGCTTTTGTATCTAGTTAGATTGAACTAGCTGATTGGATTGTGACACCAGGAGTCTTTAATATTGAACCTTTTAACAATATTCTAATATTCTGAGATACTGAATTTGGGATTTTCATTAGTTATCAGTTATAATTAAAGAAATAAACATTTGAAATATATCAGTCTGTGTGTAAATAATTAACGTAATGTGAAAGTTTCACTTTTTAAAATTACTGAAATAAATCAACTTTGCCATGATATTCTAACTTTATGACCAGCACCAGCACTGTTCACCCCCACCAATACTCAAACTGGAATTTCTACAGGCAGCTTTCAAGGTAGCCCAGTCTCATTTGTTCAATCAAAAATTGGTATTGAGTGTGGAAAAGTCCAAATTCATGTTATTTTTAAAGGGTAGGAAAATCACAACCAACCTTTCAATGATCTCAAATGTTCCTGGAGCTCATATAGAAATTGTTGCATTTAATAAGCGTATCTAGAATAATTGATCACAGCCTTTCATTTCAATTACATATAGAGAACCCTACCAAAAAGCAGACTTTTATTTTTTACTACCAGAATAAATGACCTCTTCTCTCTGATAGCAAGGACAAATCTCATCTCTGCAACCTTTCTACCTTTCCTAAATTGTGTTGATTCACATTATTCAGCTGCACCCGATAGCTAGAAACACCTGAACTAATTGTATCACAGTTCACTACGTTTTATCACTGATTCTGGTCATCTGCTGTCTCTTAGCGCTCTTTTTATTCTCAAAGGTTTAATCGTTGGCTGTCTTCTGTCAATAAGTCTCTTCTTGGTCTGACCCCTTTTATCAGACTATACAATTTCAAAATGGTCTAAACCGTCCAGGTCTTCGTTCTAGTGCTGCCTCCAAATGTCCATCTCAGAAAAAACTAAAGGTATTCTGATTTCATTATTACGCAATCTATTAAAAGATTTCAAAAACAACAACCCAGATAAAGGCAACTCCCTCCCACACTGAATGACCTTCAAACCAGTTTTAGGTTTTTTTAGCTGCTATTTTCCTTGATGGTCTCTGTTTTGTTGTAATGCGTAATCCTGGTATTGTTTCCATTCTGCCGTCCTGGACCAGGTCACTCTAATAACTAAGATTTGACATCTCATTGAATCTTTCACCTGATGAAATAAAGAAATAACAATAAATACTTCTTACACTGTTTCTATACAAACAGTGACAAACAGATGCTGTTGTGGCGGGGCACAGACTGCTCATTTTTTAGTTTTTAGGAAGGGAAAATGAAAAACAGAACCAGAACCAAACTTTGAAACAGAAAAAATACCTCTTCAGTTGCAGAACAGATTTCCCATCAGACCAGACCGGTTATTAATATATAGAGATGTGTTTTATTTAGAATACTTTTGTAAAAAGTCACCATACATTCAAGATTTTTTTCTCAAAGTGTCACATTTTCTATTTTCCCTCCACAG